CTGTGCACTGGGTGCCTTCCTCAAAGCAGCCCCAGGTGGACTTCAGTATCTCCTAAGGCAAAAAGCTGGCCTGACCCGAATAGCCCAGTGCGGCCTGTTCCTACTTAATCAGTTCCTACCCTTCACAAATGTGTCCCTGAGCGCCTCACCACACACCCCTGGTTCTTGGGACAAATCCCAGGGCAGGCCTGACCTGGCTCCTGGCTCCACATTAGTCTGGAGCTTTTGCCCACCTTTGCCTACCTTACAAGTCTTGCCCTGCCTCCTGTCAGGAAGGTGGCCACTCCTTTGTGGCAAAGACATCCCCACACAGGCCCCTCAGGAAGCCCATTGGGGATGGTGGGCAGTATCATGCTGGGAGAGGAGGAGGAAGCCCATGGAGTCTGGGCCTGTCTCAGGCTCTCCTCCCTGCCTGTGCCGATGAGGTTTCTCAGCAAACCCCCCTCCCCGGGGGGCATGGCTGCCAGTTACCTTTGCCATTGCACAGGCGAGCCTTGGCCTCGCAGGAGAGGGGCTTCCAGACTATGCCCTGGCCTTTGTTGGGCGGGGAGCTTGAGGAAATGGAGAAGAATGGGCTGGTCATGTGGTGAAGCCGGCAGCTGCATTAGAAGTCCTCATTAGCTGCACAGGATGTTATATCAGTTAGGGCTCTTATGCAAGAGAGAGAAACCCAGTGTAGACTGGCTCATACGAAAGAGAATTTTTTATTAGCTTACATAACTAGAATGAGTTTTGATTTAGCAGTTCAGTGATGGCAAGAACCCATTTCTTTCCAGTCTGCCCTCTGTGGTTGAATTTCATCCTTAGCTCGCTTCTGTCCTGGTGGTTAGATGTCTGCAGCAATTCTAACTTCATATCCGCAACACTCCGTACAGAGGGAGAGAGAACTGACTTCCGGTGGCTCTATCACAGGAGTGAGTGACCTTTTCTAGAAGCCCCAGAAAATTTCTGGTGTCTCATTGACTCACACTGGGCCATCTGCTCAGTCTTAAGCCAGTTTACTGACTATAGAATGTGCTGTGTTGATTGGCTTAGGCTGGATTGCCTAAACCAATCACTATATGGCTGGGATGGGAATACTATGTCTGAGTTAAAATGGTCAGGGCTTCCCAGCCGGTGTGGCTCAGTGGTTGAGTATCGACCTATGAACCAGGAAGTCTTGGTTCAATTCCCAGTCAGGGCACATGCCTGGGTTGTGGGCTCGATCCCCAATAGGGAGCAAGCAGGAGGCAGTTGATTGTTGATTCTCTCTCATCATTGATGCTTCTATCCTTCTCTCCCCCATTCTTCTTTCTGAAATCAATAAAAACATTAAAAAATTAAAAAATAAGATGGTCAGGGCTGAACCTGAGAGCTAGGGGTGCGCAAACAGCACAACGCAGAGGAGGGGGGACGGAAGTGATGGCTGGTCAGCTACAGTGTCTGTCACAGGCTTCCGTTCACTGTTTTTTCTGTTGCTTCTGGTGACTGGCTATGATATAACACTGTGAGCAGAGCCCTGCATATTGGATTCCACCCCTCACCCCCCAAGACAATGACACAGATGCTATCAGGGAGAACAAGGACACATACTCCAGGAACTGCGGATCAGGAAGGGAAATTCTCAAAAGTTGATAAAGTATCCCCAAGGTACCTTAGACCTGGTCTGGTAAACATTGAACAATGAGAATAAGAACTAGAGCAAATTACTACAGGCAACCTTTAACCTATAGTAATGATAAGTCCCCACAAAACACTGAAGTCTAATACCATTTTTCTTTTAAAACAGTGTAATACGGCCATATGTCCCTGTAAAGCAGTGGTTCTCAACCTGTGGGTCGCGACCCCTTTGGGGGTCAAATGACCCTTTCACAGGGGTCGCCTAAGACCATCGGAAAACACATATATAATTACATAGTGTTTTTGTGATTAATCACTATGCTTTAATTATGTTCAATTTGTAACAGTGAAATTGGGGGTCACCACAACATGAGGAACTGTATTAAAGGGTCGCGGCATTAGGAAGGTTGAGAACCACTGCTGTAAAGAATATCCCTACCTTGTATAGATATGAGCTTAATTGCTATAGTTGATTATTTTACCTATTTTAATTGGTATTACCAATTAAATTATTATTATTATATTATGCAGACATAATATAAAGACTTTGAAGTTGCACACTAACAAACACTACTGGGCAGTCAGTCCTATAGGGCTTGATTTCATTTACCCCAGACGAGACTCCTAGGAAACTGCTGTCTGGGGCAGGGAAGGACTGGGTCAAGTTCAGAGGGCTCTTTAGACGTGAGAAACATGGTGATACAAAGGAAACCACCACTCTTGTCATGAGTAAGTTGGAGCAGAAGAGCAAGCAGTTTATCTTTGCAGATGAAATTCATGATTGGGGTACAAGATTACAAACTCAGAGCCTGTCTCCAGCAAGGCAATATTCCCTGCTGTGCCCATGCGGGAAATACATGCACAGAGGGCCAACCAGGACAGGGGAGCCTTTCATTATGGGTGGGCTTTGACTGAAATCCTAACGATGACCTTGAGTGAGCTAGACTGTCCATGTGCCAGAAATCAAATCCAGGAATTCTGGACTGGGTTGCAAAAGGATATTGGTGCTTAAATGCATGCTGTGTCCCAGGGCGGCTGGCTGCAGAGGACACCTCCACAGTGGAGGTCTTGGACATCTAGTTCTAGTCCCTGTGAAGACACTTGTAGGACAAACCTTTGAGCATGTCCTATCAACTTGCTCAGCCTAATTTCTCATTCATGACCAAGTGTGAGGAATAAAGAAATAAAATGAGAGGATCTCAAAAGCTTCCTTGAGCACTAGCTTTCTGATCATATATATATATCTTTATTGTTGAAAGTATTACATATGTCCCCCTTTGTCCTCCATTGATCCCCTCCAGCCCGCCCCTGCCCCCTGCCCCAGGCCTTCACCATCCTATTGTCTATATTTAGCTTTCTTATTCTTGGATGAGGAATAAAGAAATAAAATGAGAGGATCTCAAAAGCTTCCTTGAGCACTAGCTTTCTGATCATATATATATATCTTTATTGTTGAAAGTATTACATATGTCCCCCTTTGTCCTCCATTGATCCCCTCCAGCCCGCCCCTGCCCCCTGCCCCAGGCCTTCACCATCCTATTGTCTGTATCTAGCTTTCTTATTCTTGGGTTCTGTGCAGGGTGTGATAGGAAGTGTCGTAAGGAACTGAGATGGGGTTGAAGTAGGGACTTAAATCCTCTGTGCCAGGACAGACAGACAGACAGACAGACAGATGATGGCATGATGTATTGCATGCTGCAGATGTCTTAAGTAGCCACCAAGTGGCTGAATGGCTGATTGCCCCAAGTTGAGTGTCATTGTTTGGACACTACAGATACTGCAGTACAGCCACAGCTCCCTGAATAGCAGGGTTGTTTCCTTTGCCAAGCCCAGCTCGGATTGGATTTTGGCTGCCAGGCTCGTGTTCTGTGACATCCAGATGTCAGGGATCTTGTGGGATCAGTGTACATGAGGCGAGATCAGAGAGTGACTCTGGCAGATACTTGTGTTAAAAAGTGGTTTCAAAGCCATGGTCACATGGCTGATTCTGAGACTGATGAGCCCCACTGGTGTTTTCAGTTTCCTCTTTTGCTAAGAGTCTGATTGCCAGTGGTGTTGCATGCTGTTGTGGTTTATCGTTTTTCAGCCATCCTGTTGCTCAATAATCCACATGTGCTCCACTCTGAAACGGTTAACACCGGAGCTCTACCTGAACAGGAGAGAAGTTATTTGTTTATTCTTAATATCAGTTTATATAAACCAGTGGTCCCAAACTCAAATCTCTGCCGGAACCAGGCAAGAAATACGACTGTGTACGTAAATGGTGCTTTGTCTGATCAGGGGCCTGTAGCTAACTTGCAGAGAATGGGTCCCATCTAAAGGCATTAAAGTTCAAGTGAAAAACAAAACGTATCTGGCCCAAGAAAACTCTGCGAACTGGATTCAGACCTAAGGTTACCAATTTGTGATTCCTGGGCTATTTTATCTGACTAATCAGCTATCGTTGTTGTGTTTGCTCAGCTTCAGAGATGCCAGATTTTATGAATGTGAGCCTTTTGTAATTTTGTTTTTATAACACATTTTAGCTTTTTACCTTAGATTAAAAGACTGACTATTGTTGGGATAAGAGGTAAAAACCATAATTTTTACCCACAAATTGGAAATACTTCAAAAGAAATAATGTCCTCATGAAAATCATTTCTTTGGTGCATGGCCATTGGAGGTTGAATCACTTTGGAGAAGCAGAGATCGAAATCTCAATCAAAACAATTATGAGGGTTTTACATCATTAAAGAAATTGCATCACTAAAGATAAGGAACCCCAAGCATTTGAAACATATACTTCTGCCCTGGAAGTTGTCTGCTGAGTATATACACTCCTTTTTGCCTTTTCTTACTGTTAGCAGAGGTGGGGTTAGTGACCAGGGTGAAATTGGAAGTGGGACAAGCTTGCTTTCTCAAACTTCCAGCCCACCCTACACTTCTACCATGAGTGCCATGAGTGAACAAAGAAACCAGGGAGTTCATTTATTCTTAGATGTTAGTCACCCATGGGACTTTCTGCCAAGGGATGCTTGGATTTTTAAAAGAATCTGATAGTAGAACAGAATATAGGGCTTAGTCCACAGTACCACGTCTCCAACGAGAGTACTTCCTGTCGTGCTGAGAAGATGATTGGAGGGTTGGGAGCCTCCCAGGTAATGTCTTATGTTGCCTTGCTTCCGGTAAGGCCCACTGGACTAGCAGGAGCCACTGATCATGGAGTGGGATTCAGCTTCATTCTGTTTTATTTACATTATTCGAACTCACCTCAGAGTCCATGCAAATTATTGCACATGTGTTTCTGTAAGGGACTGATGGCACCCAGCTTCCTTGTGCCTGGTGCTGGCTGGTGGGAGAGTTCTGGGAATTTAAATAATCCTTCAGCAAAGAGACTCAAAGCTGTGCTAAAGTGTTCTTTTGACAGTGCTTTCTCTTCAGAGTGCTCTCAACTTGTTTCTTTCAGTGAGACTTTAACAGCCATTAGTCCATCAGTCCTGTCTGCAACTCCTTGCAATTTGGCTCCTGTCACCAGTCATGTTACTAAGTTGTCTTCCTCAAAGCTCCCCAATGACCACCTGGTCATCATATCCATTGGCCTTTACTTTAGCCTTTCTCTCTGACTGGTGAGTCTTTCACCCATGGACTATTACTCATGCTGCTAACTCTACCTGGAAGCACTCTTTCTTCTTTTCCCCCTCACCTCCTCTTCCTTGGCTAATTCCTGAGCCTCAAGTCGTAGCTTCTTTCAGGAAGCCTTTCATGATGACTCCCTTCCCCAGGTTTGGTTTATGAACTTGTCCTATGAGCCTTCATAGCGCTCCGTACTTTTCTGCTGTTGTACATATCATACTATATTTTGTCATACTCTATTTTAATTAGTGTCCTCCCTTCTTCCCCGCTGTGCTATGGACTCTGTGAGGACAGGTACCATGGTGGTTTTATCTATACCATGTGCCTTGTGCCTATACATGGCAGATGCTCAATAAATATTTGCAGAACGAGCTACCTAAATGACGATGACATCTGAACAGTAACGTCTACATTTCCTGTAGAGCCAACAATGAAGCCCTGGTTTCCTCCATCAACCTTTGGTTCTTCCAAAGACCTCCAGTCAGAAGATGTTGGATATTGTCAATAAAGAGCAGCTTCTGTCCCTGAGGAGGAAGGCGGCTTTCAGGAAGCCCAGGCCATTCACATTTAGCCGCTTCATGACTAGGGAGCAACTCTGTGCATTGCTTATGTTAAACAGTGATGGCTACCTGTCAATGAAACCAAAGAAGAGATGAGTTCTAAGGGTTCTGACTACCAACAGAGTGGGTAACACATC